GGCGCCACTGGGAATCGAACTCAGGACCTCCCACATCCAGAGCTCAATTGATCCAGTGGTTTCACCACTAGGCTATGTTACCTTAAGGATAAAAAGTTCAAAAATACCGCATACACCAATTAAGAAAATGATATTTAGACATTGAATTAACCAGAGTTTGGGACATGGTATTATACTCTACCCTTAAGGATAAAAATCTAGGTCTTCTTTGTATAAATCTTATACAATAATACCAATTTAATTAAGAACAATAATCAACGGTTATGATTAATCGTAATACATGTAACAAACTACACGCACCACATTAGGGTTTAGGGTTTACGATTTGGATAACTTGGACCTAGGGTTCACTCATTGAGGGTTAGAGTATAGTATCATGCCCAAAAAACCTCTTAATTTGAGGTCTAGATATCATTTTTTTTAATTGGCGTATGCGGTACTCCAATTTTTACCGTGTACGAAAAATAAAGACACATTTATGATCTGTGGATTTCCATGGCATGGGTTGGGAGCATGTTTTGATTTATTAGTCAACCCCTGTGATTATAGATATAAAATAAAGGCATTATACACTTCCATAGCCATAACTTTCGCATTTATAACAATAATAGCCATTTTTTGAGAAATATAAGATATAGCCACTTCCGTCCAATACTTTAACGGGGTCATCCAGTGGCAGACCCAAGAATTACATTATGGGTATTCAACGATCAAACAAAGTCATCAAGGCTTGTCAAATTGTCTTTAATTCAAATACTACCATCACTAAATTAACAATTTTACAAAGGATTTTGGTTCTAAAATTGAATTAAGGTTTGTCAATTGACAAACCTTTCATATATGTAGGTCCGCCCCTGGGGTCATCTAACATGCTTACTGGACTAACAGAAATGGTGATTTGGCAACATTTCATTAACAACAAAGCCATGTAGATTAATAAAAAATAAATAATTTTTTTAATAAAAATGCAAAAAAATCATTTAATAAAAAACTCCCCAAATCCCTCCTCCACCTACCTTTCTCCACCGTCGTCGTTCTTCACTTTACTTCTCCAAAAACTTACCCCCCATTCTCCACTTTCCTTCTACAAAAACCCATCACGAGTTACTCCTTATCAATCAAATCTCTGCTCCACTGCGGCGACTACCAGAAACTCAAGAATCACCTTTTACACTATGCTTGTCCCTCCTTTACCGGCGTTGTTGTTTCTACTGCTCTGATCGGGACAAACCTCCGTGGCGATGGTGAATTTTGAGTCGAGTTCGTCTTCGCCGGGATGAACCTCTGTTGCTCTTCTTCCGGAAGCAGGACCATGGACGGACAACACTGCACAATCGCCGCACAATCAGCAAACCCTAACACCAGATCCGTTGCTCTGTCTCTTACAATCTCCGTCGTATCCCTACACACTTGGCCCAATCTTTGTCGTCTACATCCACACTGGTTATGGGCGATGATCAATGGAGGGAAATCTGGGTAATGATCGATTGAGGATGGAGGACGATGATGAATGGTTGGGGGAAATCACACTTGGCCCAATCTTTGTCGTGTCCCTCCACACTTGAAGAAGAAGAAGACGGCAAAGGGATGGCAACATTGCAGCCAGAGGAAGATTTTTGATTCGGGCCTAATTGCACATGTTTTGCCCCCGTGTTACTTAGATGTTTGTGCCAAATTCGCTCCTAAAAGGTTGGTTTTACGCTAGGTTCTTTGTGTTTGAGTGTGTTTCAGGATTTAACAGGTGAAACCAGCCTCGTAGTCAAAAGATTGGCGAAAAGGATCGAAAACCGTGAGAAGAGGTGAAAAAGAGCCAGTTCACGGCCATGCAAGACCGTGAAGAAGAGGAGTTGACCGTGAATTGCGAGGCGTCCAGAGCCAATGTGAAGGTTAGTGACGCAAGGTGAGTTCACGGTCACAAAGACCGTGAACAAAGGCAGTTGACCGTGAACGGACGTGGGCGATGTGGCGTGTTTTGGCTCACGCCTGGAGTTCACGGGCGCATTTCATGGTTCACGGCCGTGAACTCAGCTCATCTCGGGTTTAAAAGATGAGCTAAAAGGAGGAGAGAGGGGAGAGCCCACTTTTGTGCGAAACACCTTCTTTTGCATTCTAGTGAGAGAAACAGAACCAAAGGGAAGAAGAAGGTTATGGTTTGGCTTCAAGGCAGATTTGGGAAGATTTCCCCCAAGGAAAGCTCAACTCAAGGGTCAAGAAGACTGGGAGCATCCTCAATGATGGTTTCCACCTTTTTCTCTTTTGTTCTTCCCACTTCTAGCATGGAGTAGACCTCCTTTCACTTGGGTGTAGTGAAACCCTAACTCTACCATGTAGTTTGCTTGTATGTATTTTGGATGATTGTCATTGGGTATTGTTCAATTCAATGATTGAGACATTATTTATCATGATTGTGCATACTTGTGCTTAGAAATCTAGGGGCTGTGCATGTTTTGTGCTTAGCATCCATAGGTTTGTGCATTTAGGTGCTTAGCAACCTAAAGATTGTGCATAATTGTGCTTAGCACCCCTAGGTTTGTGCTTTTAGGTGCTAGTAATCGAATTTGCCACCTTAGCCTAGATTAGAGAGGAAAATCCCCCTTTCAAGGGAGACTCAATCGAGTTGGTTTTCCTTCCGCTTTCTAAGGCAATTAGAGTTGAGTGAGGAAGTAAGTCAATTACCGATTGTCTAAACCGAGAGGGTCGAGTGACACGGCCTTTCATCCTTACCTCGGTTTAGCAATTGAGACTGTGGTCTCCGACCACATATGCATTCCTCTGTGCTTGATTAAAGTGCCCAAGGCAATCGTTCCAATCCACATAGCATGATAGCGGTTAGGGGGAAGCGACACCCGAGTGACTTTCCCACAAAAGAGTTTTCAAACCCAATCACCTTTGCTTTCTTTTATTTCAATTTGCAAACCTTTAAACCAAATTTTTGTTGCTAGATAATGATTTGAACAACTGAAGTAGGGGTAGACGGACCGGCCCGAGTCGATATCTAAGTACTTGCCCTGTACTGCACCCGATTAGAGTTTAAAAACTTGGGCTCTAATTGTGATTTTATTGTGGTGTAGTTTCGTGTGAGTCAAGTTTTTAGAAAACCGGTGACTCGCTTGGCTGATGCGGCTACAGCTCCAGGCGATTGTTGTTGTGAAAAGAAATGGAAGAGGGGTTTCTAGCTTTGTGGATTGGGTTTGACGAGAGAGGTGGCATTTTTGGGAAAGGAAAAGGGATCGAAGATGGAATAAAAAAGGCATGGGAAGAATTCCAAGTAATTCACTCCTCGCCGGGACTGGGGAATTCCTGGACTTTCGCTGGAGCTCCTTGTGGTGGCCGGGAACTATAGTCGGCAGCAGTTCAGAAAGAGGAGGCAACGAAAGGAACGATGGTGTAAGCAGATGGGGAATAAGAATGTAATTTTTTTTAATATATGATGTGTAAATTAAATAATTTGAATATCTTAAGTGTCTGCTGAGTTGGCGCTGACGTCAGCGAACAATCAAATAAGTTGACAGTGTTAATAACACCGTTAAATTTTCTAACGGAAATTACTATATTTGTCATTCAACAACTTTAAAACCTGGCTATAAGTGGTATTTCTCCAAATTTGACTATTATTGACACAAACGCGAAAGTTTTTGACTATACAAGTATATATTGCCTAAAATAAAACTCGAACTAATCAAACTAGGATAACAAATACTCGCTATTCCTCCTCGAACCACAAAATCTCATCAATCATCATATTGTCTACGTAGGTCTTCAAGGAAAAGTCAAGGAAATTATTTTGTACAAAAAACCCCAAAATTGGTACATTTACAGCCGAGAGATTTTTCCAAAAATAGCACTGTTTAAATTTTTTTTCCAAAAATAGCACTGTTTAAATTTTTTTTCCAAAAATAGCACCCAACTCCGAAAAACTGCACTGGTAGGGGGCGGTTTTGCAGACCGCACCCCCACCATGCGGTTTGGTTGCAGACCGCACCCCCACGATGCGGTCTGCTTTTTTTTTTTTTTTTTTGAAAAATCCTAACTTAGGTGGAAACTTCAAACGAACGTATCTTTATGTTCGGGTATCCGATCGTCGCGATTTTTTTTTTATTCTGCATAACTTTTTGAGATCTTGCAAGCCGAAGACTGCCAAAGGTGGTTTGGTCCCACCTTCGTCCAAAAAAATGTCGTTTACTACCCCGAACGAACTTTTTCCGATTTCGTCAAACTTTGGACAACCATAACTTTGTGCTCCAAAATCCAAACGGCATGAATTTTTTTTTATTTCGCATAAATTTTTAAGGAATACAACTTTTATCATAGACATAATTTCAAAATGTACGTGGATTGCTGAGAAGGGAAGATAAGCTTTTCCTAAAATCCTGTATATCCAAAAATAATTCCTGTTTTGAAAATTCATTCCTTGTAAAAATTGTAGTCCTTAAACATTTATGCGAAATAAAAAAAAATTCATGCCGTTTGGATTTTGGAGCACAAAGTTACGGTTGTCCAAAGTTTGACGAAATCGGAAAAAAGCTCGTTCGGGATAGCAAACGACATTTTTTTGGGACGAAGGCGGGACCAAACCACCTTTGACAGTCTTCGGCTTGCAAGATCTCAAAAAGTTATGCGGAATAAAAAAAAATCGCGACGATCGGATACCCGAACATAAAGATACGTTCGTTTGAAATTTCCACCTAGGTTAGGATTTTTCAAAAAAGAAAAAAAAAAACAGACCGCATCGTGGGAGTGCGGTCTGCAAAACCGCCCCCTACCAGTGCGATTTTCATCGAAAAACGCGCCATCGGGTGGCGGTTTTACAAAAAGGGTTCTATTTTTGGAATTTTTAGGAGTTGGGTGCTATTTTTGGATTTTTTTTAAACAGTGTTATTTTTGGAAAAATCTCTACAACCGATGGGCAATATCAAAACCAGGAATGATAAAACAATTAATGGAAAAAGTGGAAGGTCTCAGTGCTGGGCTTTGCATCTCAAAAGTGATGAATAAAAAGACTAATCAATCCTCCTCCATTGCGAGGCTACGTCAGCAGCGATTTTAACGGCGTCCGATGAAGTTCCTTGCAACCCTCTTCTAGTGAACCCCACCGTATACAATCTATTCTCCTCCCCTTTCCACCTGTTGAGGAACTCCGTCTTCGGCATCCCGTCCCTCGTAAAAGTATTGCTACCCTGCAACCGTTACCATTTTATCAACAATAGAATCAGGAATCTAATTTGTATGTGTTATGCTCATCATCATAAATAAACAATTGCCCAAAAGAGCACCTACAACTAGAGGTGTTCAAATGGTTACCATGGTTATTACAAACCAAATAAGCCTAAATTTCATTAACCATGGAATACAATATCATAATCAAACCGTCCAAACTAATACAACAATCAAATTAACCAAATTAAAGTTTAATCGGTTTGGTTAATTGGTTAACCAGATTAACCAATATAAAATCATATCATCATCAAGTGAGAAAATTTTCGGTTAATTTATCAATTCACAATTTATATAATGAATAAAACATAACAATCAACACATAGTTATAGTTGACCCTTAACATAAATACATGCAACTAAGACAAATTATCTTACGGTTAGTATAGAAGTATTCACCTAACAAAAATTTATCACAATGGTATGGATTAATGAATTGTTGTGTTTGTTTGAATTGACTTAGTCTTTTAGCAATTTTCATAGGCTGAAAAGGACATTGCTTTCAAGTTTTCGTCCAACATAATGTATGAGATTTATCTAAATTAGGCGGTCATATGTTGTGGTCTACACTCTACATATACAAATATACATTATAGGAACAATATCAAGCTTTATATTTGATGAGTCTAAAAGGATGAACGTTTAACTCTTGCGTGGTTATTCTAAGTATTAAGTATGTGTATATAATAGATATATGACTAATCAATTATCTGGTTAATTTGGTTTGACTGGTTAGGAGGGTCTGAAACCAAATCAAACTACCTATACCAAACAAGCTAAAAACTTTAACCAAACCAAATCAATATCCAAATTAACCAAACCAAATTATCCAAATAGTATTTGTTTAAACGATTACCATGGTAACCACACCGTTTGAATACCCCACCCAGTTGCCCAAATTATTGAGTCAAAATCCTTCTCTTGTCCATCGATGAACTTTGCTCCACATTTTGTTATCTCTTTCACTCCTTCCATCATCTGAAATCAAATTGTAGTAATTATTGATAAATTAATTAAAACACTACAATTTATAAATTTAAACTAATGGGCTTTGGTTAATTATTATTATTACCTTAATCTTGTCGGACCGAATTTGGGAGGCCCCCCCCACCACATCCAGCACCTGGGTTTTTCCTGTCACATTCTTGAGCTCAAGCGGGCCAGTCTTGGGCCGTTGGAGGCCCAATTCATCGGTGCTCCCCAGGATCAAACTCGCTGCCGAAACCAACAGCCGGTCAACCATCTTCAACGGCAGTCATTTCAGCAGCGCCATCGCCACCTCAAACGTCGACACCCCAAACATCTCCCCTCGGCAGAACCTTCACCTTTTAATAACAAATTTTTTAACTCATCAGTCATCACAAGAAAAAGATTTCGTCACCGAAAGAAACGGACGACCAGTTGAACAAACTCACCGCGTTTCAAACCACCATATAAGGAACGACATTGTTCTGGCAGAGGTCGAGGCTAACTTCCATGCCGGAATTCCCACATCCGACGACCAGAGCGTTCTGGCTGGCGAACTCCTTCGCGGACTTGTAATCGCTGGTGTGGACCACCCTGTTTTTGAATTCGCCCAAACAGAGAATTCTTAGGACGAAAGGCTCGGCATTTTCGCCCGTGGCGACGATCAGCCACCGTGAAATATAGACGAATTCTTCGGTGTGGACCCTCCAGAGGGCCTTCGCGGGGTCGAATTCGGCGGAGGAGACGGAATTGTTGAAGGCGGGGCGGATGTTGAAGAGGGCGGCGTAGGATTCGAGGTAGGAGACGAATTCGGTGCTTGGTTGGGTACTTGAGGAAGTTTTTAGGGAACCCAGGGGAGGTGGAGATTGAGCCGTTCGTAACTTTTGTACTGCCAGGAGAGAGGAGATGTTGTCGGATTTCTCGAGGATTAAGGGAGAGACGCCGTGTTGTGACAGGCAAGCGGCGGATGCTAACCCTGATAGGCCTGCTCCGACGATTATCCGCACCGTTAACCCACCACCGCAGTCTTCTTATTCTTCATCTCCTCCTTATTCTGGTCTTGTGGTTGCTTTTTTTGTACGCGAATCCATGTGATAGATGGAAAAGCAGAGAGATTTATGGAAGGTGTGTTAATGGAGGCGTGAAAGCAACCGGGAAGTCCAATCAGGGCGGATAGGGACAACCCTAAAATTGGAAATGCGATTATTCAACCCCCGGTAATAGTTTTGTATAGATAAAAAGTTATAATTAGTGATTTGGTACACCCCTACAACGATAATCCTATCCTCAGTAGTAGTTTGCGTATACTTAAAAAAATAAGTGATAGTCTGTGTTATTCAAACTTAGGATATACTATATTTTCTCAAACATTGTCCTTCATTAAGTTGCAACTCATTTGTTGTTCTATTTTAAACACTACATAATAGTAAAAAGTTATTCCTTATCCCCGACTATTTCCAAAACCTAACAATTTAAACTAATTACAGGCTACCCTTAATTTGAATTGATTTTATGGTTACACAACAAGTGTTGAAAGAGTCTTTTCAACTTTGAGTTACATCAATAACAAGGTTAGAAATTCATATGCGATCAGTTCGTGAACTATTGTCTAGTAAGATATACAGATTTGTGAGCAATTTACCTAGCCTATTTTTTATTCTTTTTCAGAAAATAAAAACACGTCGTTGCCTTATGTTAAAATTTGTACTAGTCCGATATTTTTTTAATTATGAGTTATTTATTTTATTTTAATTTTTTTTGAAGAGGACACCCCTGGTAAAAATTTCTAGATCTGCCACTGAACCCAATGCGGTTTTTTTTTGGGTTTTAGGTTTCTGTTTCTCAAGGTTACATTTTCAACTTTGCCTTAGGTGATGATGTATGTTATATAATCGGTGGGTTAGATTTCAGATTGTATGGTTAGGCAGATGAGATCTAGCTACTGTACTAAATTCTTAATACTTTATTTTGTCTAAAACTATGACCATATAATCAATTTTGGCCCGTGTTTCAGAAATTAACATCATGGCCTCAACTATGTAACATATAGACTCAATTGGCCCGATACCTAGTTTGACCGTCAATTTGGATGGACAACACCATTCACTGTTAGTCAACATGCCATGTCATTAACTCGTCATCCTAAAAATCATTAAAAATTCAAATTCAAACTATTTTTTTTAATTTTTATTATTTATAATCAAATTAACAAAAAATAATTTATATAAAACATAAAATAAATTTATGTTTTTATTTTTTTGTGTAACTTGAAAATGATTAATTTTATAAATGAACCAAAATTATCCAATTATTTTATATATTTAACATTAACCAAAAATGGAATATATAATTTATATCATAATTTTTAAATTTATAAATTTAATTTGATAATTTTTGGTTAATTTTTAAAATTTATCATTTTCAAATATCCCAAAAAGAATATATAAATTTATTTTATATTTTTATATTTTGGTTAATTTGAAATGATAAATAATAGAAATTAGGAAAATAATTTGATTTTGATTTTTTTTAATAATTTTTTAGGCTGACAAGGCAATGACATGGCGTGTTGACTAACGATCAATGGTGTTGATCATCCAAATTGACGGTTTAAACCATGTGTCAGGCCAATTGAGTTTTTTTTTTTCGTTGAATCAGTTATCCTTTTGTATTAAGTAACGGAATTGCCAAAACAGGCAATCCAAGATACAACGAAACAGGGATACCAAAGCGGCATCCCAAAGCAAAAAGAAACAACAGTGACAGCCACTAAAAAAAACCCAGCATCCCATTTACAGCACTCACACGACTACTGCAGACCTAAAATGTGTAAATCCCTCTGCATTACCTCTCTAACTACATCAACCTCTCGAGGAACCTCATCATGACATCTCCTGCAGCGTTCTTGCCATATATACGTGACAAAGAGGCACCATTTAACATTAATTCCTCGTTGCGGATCACACTGCACTGCTACACAGAGAGCCTGCACAGTCTCCACCCAAGATCCTCGAACCAGACCATCCTGCAAAAACCCCTGCAACAACAGTCTAGTATACTCACAAGTGACAAACAAGTGATCTTGTGTTTCACTTGCCATGCCACAAAGGACTCACTTATCCTCACTCACCTTTTCCCAACGCAACAGCTTACTTTTCGTAGTAATTCCATCAAGCAAAACCAGCCAGGCAATAAAACTAAAACGAGGCACATGATTCGGCCCCCAGACTACCTTATACCACTCCACAGCGCTGTTTTTTGGACGTAGAGTATCCCAGACCCGCTTAACCGAGTACTTTTCCATAGGTTTCCCATCCCACAAGGCACAATCCCCCTGCCTGCTAAGAAAAGACTGCACCTGTGAGCGTTTCTTCAGAATTCTTCGCCAAGCCTAGGAGCTATTAGCATTCTCCTTCATGGTCCAGATATCTCCAGTTTTACAGTGATACCTAAGCATCCAAGCAACCCAAATAGCTCCTGATTTCATCATCAATAACCACAACAAACGCAGAGAACAAGCTGTATTCCAGGAGCTAAAATCCCTAATCCCTAACCCACCTTCTTTCTTGGGCCTTGCCACTCTTCCCCAAGCAATTTTTGCTCTTCCTGACTCACTCCCATGCCATAAAAAATCCATACAAATCTTCTGAACCCTCTTTAAGATCTTCTTGGGCAAGATGAACACCTGTAGCCAGTATTGAATCAGCCCTGTCACCACCGAGTTAATCAGTTGTAATCTTCCAGCAAATGTGAGCTTTTTAGCTCTCCACGACCGTACTTTCTTTGTGATTGCTGATGCCAATGCATCACAATCCCTATCAGTCAACTTACCTGAGATGAGGGGCAAGCCCAGGTATTTCACAGGTAAACAACCCTCAGCAAACCCTGATAATTCCAGGGCATTCCTCTTGTATTTGACTGATTCCCCCCCAAAGAATACTGAACATTTAGCTGGATTGCACCTTAACCCTGATTGCCAATAAAACTGATCTAAAACCTGCTTAACTGCCAGAATTGCCCTTGCTGATCCCACTGTGAAAATCAACAAATCGTCCGCAAAACAAAGATGATTTAAGGATATCTTGCTGCACAGCGGATGAAAAGGAATTAAACCCTGCTCTGAGGCTTTAATCAGCATACCAGAGAGCCCCTCCATTGCTAGTGCAAACAGATAGGGGGAGAGGGGATCCCCTGCCTCACCCCCTTCTTAGCATTAAAAAACCCCTTCATTCCACCATTAACACAGATGCTGAAGTGAGCAGTTGATAAACAAGTATAGATCCAATCCAGAAATTGAGAAGGGAACTCCATCAGCCTCATAATCATGAACAAGTAATCCCAATTAACTGAATCGAAGGCCTTCATAATGTCTATTTTAACTGCACACCTAGAAGACAGCTTCTCCTTATGATATCCACTAACAAGATCTTGAGCTAACATGATATTGTCTACAATCTGTCTACCCTTGATGAAAGCAGTTTGATTAAGACTGATAACACTAGGCAACACCTCACTAAGCCTCTTGGCTAAAATTTTTGCAATCACCTTATACAAGACATTAATGCATGAAATTGGACGAAATTCTTTAAAAGTCTCAGCATTAAGTACCTTTGGAAGCAGGGCCACAGCAGTGGCATTTACTCCACTTGTAAGATGGTTACTCTCAAAGAAAGCCTGGATTCCTCTTGTTATGTCCTCCCCAACAATGTGCCATGTACGCCTGAAGAAGCCAGAGGAAAATCCATCAGGGCCTGGCGCCTTGTGGATATTCATATGAAATACAGTTTCTCTGATTTCCTCAACTGAAACCTCCTGACATAACCACTCTTTGCTCTGTTGAGAAAGCTGCTTATGAATCACCCCTGACAAAACCTGCTGATCTGGTTTGATGTCTAAGTTAACCACCCCAAACAATTTCTGATAAAAATCAACCGCAGCATCAGCCACCTGTTCCACATCCTCAACCACCATTCCATCTTCTGTTCTAATTCGTCGGATTGCTCTTTTTGCTGTTCTGATTTTCACTGATTGATGAAAATATCTTGTACTCTTGTCACCTCTTTTAAGCCCTGCCTCCCTTGATTTTTGCCAGAACAATCCCTCCTCAGCCTTTTTTGCATCCTCTAATTGAGCTTCAAGCTCTTTCTTCAGCTGCAAATTAGACTCAGTAGGAGCTGAAAAGCATTCAGCCTTTATCAAAAGCAACTTCTTTTCCATCTCCTTTACCTGAGTAGGAAGATTTGCAAAATGATCCCTATTCAGCTGAACCAGGACCCTTTTGACTTCACGAAGTTTCCTCTGAACAATAACCCAGGGATGCCCAGAAATTCTTGCTGACCACGCTTTCTCCACCAATGGTAGGAACTCAGGATGATCCCCCCAAAAATCAAAATATTTGAAAGGCTTCGGCAATGTTTTATCAGAACCTTTAGCCTTAATCAAAATACCACAGTGATCAGAGAAGGTACCTGGAATAGCCTCAGTAACACAGTAAGGAAAAATAGAGATCCAATCAACATTTACCAAAGCCCTATCTAACCTTTTAGCTATAGGATTCTGCTGCTGATTGTTAACCCAGGTAAATAAAGGCCCTAGGGTGTTAACATTCTCCAATTCCATGTTATTCCGCCATTCATCAAACTCTGTCATACTAGAGGACACCTGAACCTGATTTGAGGCTTCTTCTGGCTTCATAATTGCGTTAAAATCGCCTCCAACTAACCAAGGTGCACAGGTCACTTTTACTTGCCCTATAGCAGTATATGTATCGCGACGCTGCACTTCATCATTGGCCCCATAAACAGCGGTGAAAAAGAACAAATCCCCCTGCTCCTGAATCATAGTATGTACAAAATTCCTGCCTGGTTTCAATATCGTCACCTTAACTTCCGGCTTCAGAACAGCCATATCCGACCCAAATCCGATTCACAATAACTCAAATATCTTTCCCAACCAACAAGAAAACCCTCTGCAATTTCCTCTG